AAAATAATATTTTATTAAAAATATAATATAAAGAATAATTTAAATAAAATATAAATATTTCTAAAATATTAATAATTAAAAATAAAATTTAATATGTATATGTGTGTATTTTTATAATATATTATTTGATATATTTATGTAGTTAAATAATATATATATATATATATATATAATTTATCATATAATGCTTAAAGATACCTTTCAGTTCAACTGGCAAAGAAGGAGAGCATAAAACTTGGAAGGTATGAGGTCAAGGATTTAAACCTTGGCTTTGACATAAACATGATGAATATATGATATGATAAGGAGTAAGTAACATAGCGCAAGGTGAACAATGATGTGTCATGAGTTGTCGCATATGTAGTGGGTGATAGGGTACGAGATGGTAGGTGACATGATGGTTGACAAAGCATGAGCTTGTTGATGACATGTCACAAGTTGACATCACACATAGCGGATGATGTGGCATAATTATTTTTAAATATAAACATATTTAGCGAGGGATTAGCAAGAAAAATACAATTTCTCACTAAATTTAGCGAGTCCTTTTTTAGTTATGAATTTAGCGAGAGACAAAATTCATAACTAAAATGAAATTTTGCTACGAAAAATGGCATTTAGCGAGGAATTCGTCTCTCGCTAAATTCAATTTTTCTAGTAGTGTTCCACTTCTGCCGGAAATCACTAGAAATAGGAGGGAAGAGATGAAGCGCAGAGGAAAGATGAAGAAATGGCTAAATCAAATTTTCTCCCTCCTCACCGATCTTATGCACGCACGCAATGTCCAGCAGTTGATGAGGGAGAGAAGATGAAGACTGAACGCATATACTGACCTTCTTAAACATAATGATGGACAAGGAAAAATGGAAGAGCAACCCACAGGATGTACAGCCACACACTCCACAGCAACGGAAATTACAGAGCAAGAAAAGATTGAACCAGAGATGGAGAACGTTGATGCAAGCAGGAAAAGAGAAGGGAAAGACTTGACCGGAGGCATAACAACGAGAGACCACCAGAAAAATTGAAGAGGAATGAAGGGGGACAGCAACGACTAAGCAAATTGATTCGAAGGGGAATTATTTTTTTCTCTTCTGGTGTGTGCTTCTGACCGAGAATGAAGAATAAAAATCTAAATATTAGAAAATTGCAAAAATTACAAGAGAGGGCATAATATTTTTCTCTAATAACATAAAAGACACAGATATTTTTGGTAATTTTTTCGTAATTGTAAACTAAATAAAATTAACCCATTACTCAAAAGAATTTAAACTCTGGACCTTTTGATAAACTATTAGCATTAATTTCACTAAGTCACTACTTTTCATTTTACATAAAAATAATTTAAATAAGATATAATTTGGAATATATATATATATATATATTTTAAAAATTTAACGTCATTATAGCTTGTATTTATAGAAATAATATTTTTTTGCAAGAACATTAATCATGGTCCTTGCGTTTAATTTTTAAGTATGGCTTTTTTATAGGTAGGTTGTAATTTTGTACTTCCTTTAAGTATAGACTTGAAGAACTTTTGTTGTTTACAAAGTTTATCTAGGGTACAAAGAACTAATTGATAAATTTCTTTAAGAGAGATTTGAGACATATCCCTCTATAAATAATTGATGGCTTGATACAGCTTTAACTGTAACTCATCTGGTAATGAAGCAATGAATGTATGCTTGAGGTTGACATCATTGCAACCATTTATCATGTAGTATTTTTTAGACATTCATTGAAAATGCTTTTATAAATCTCTTCAATCTAGTGAGTTATACTTCATGCATGTAAAAGAATTCTTTTTTGCTTAATTTATCTATGAGATTAAAATTTTCAAGTAATTCCTTATGGGATCATTCCTAATAATGATGCTGCATTAGGAAGTCATGCAGCTTGCATATTTTGGTACTCACTAAGGTGTTGAAATCATTCTCTCAAATTTTCAATCATTCTTAAGAGAAATTCTAGGAGTACTTCTTGAAGAGTCATATTTTGTCATGTCATCTACAAATCTATCCAGGCTTCAAACTCATAAGTGTATCCCTCCATTTGCAAGGAGGTAGATCATCAAAAGTAAACCATGGCCCAAAGGATGGCTTAGAGCTATGAGTGTTAGCTTTGGCTAAATTATCTTCTATGAATCCTGATTCTTCTTCAGAATCCTCTACAACCAGCTCAGTATGAAGAGATTGTACCATGGCGATCTTGGTATCAAATAGATGCTGATCATCCTCAATTTTTGAGTTTTCATATGAGAGTTCAGTTGAAACTAATGAGTTTGAGTCTTCTTCAGTGTAGGCCTATTTAGAAATAACTTTTTTGATAAAAGTAATGGTTCTTAATGGGTCTACTGGGTCTGCTAGGATTTTAGCTTTTTTAGAGGAAGAAGGGTGGCCTTTATTTTGGTGGTGAAGGAGAAGGTGTTGATATTTTCAAGGGTTTAGTATGATAAGATTATGGAGGTTTTGAAAATGATAGAGAGGCTTGGTATTCTTGGGGTTTAGTATAAACAAGTGGTTGAACTAGATATGACTATACTGGTTGCGATGATAGCTTTATTGGTTTCTTTCTAGCTTGTTTAAGGACAGGGTAAGACATTTTAAAGATCTTAAATTATCACTCTCTATGGGATATGTAAGGTTTATGAAGGTGTATGAAGGAAACTAACTTAATGGGAACATAGTAAGATAAATGGGATAAGATTCATAAATGATTTTGAATTGGTCTTTGACTAGGTTTGCTTTTATTCTCTACAATTCTTTCTAGATCTTAGAAAATTCTTGCTCTTTTCTTGTAAAGTTAGGCCTAAAATACCTCTTATCAATATATTGTCTAAGATCTATATCCAATTGTTTTTCCTGCTAGGAAAGTCTTTGAGTATAGACTTTTGACTTACTTATCCATCTAACTAACCTATAAGGACAAGGTATTTGTTTTGGTTGTAAGATGGTCAACCTTGGAGTCAATTATGTGCAAGACTTTATTTTGACTAACAATGTTATGAGACTGCTAGTTAAGAGCTTCTTCTGTTTCTTGGTCAGGCTTAAGTATTCCTTAAAGAGTGACCTCAATAAATGGGAAGAAAGGTCTGCTAGTCACCTTTGTTCTATCATCAGTTTTGAGCTCCAAAGGAGGAAAATCTTTCTCATATGAACTCATCATGACTATAAAGGCAAAGCTTATCTTTCAACAGGTGAGAATGCTGGAATCACATGTCAAGCTTCTCCAACGGGACAAGGTCTTCATGGCGTAATTCTTTTATAAGTTCAAAGAGAGAAGTTCTTTTAGTGGGAAGATTCAGAAGTAGGGTCAATTTTCTTCTAGTTTGTTTAGGTCCATGGTTGTCATCATCATCATCTATTGGAGGACATTTGTGTTGGCAAGGAGACCTATGCTGCATGGTCTTTCTGGTTAAGAAAAAAAAAAATATAAAGATGATCATTAGGCCTTAGGGGCATGCTAAAAATTGGGCCGAATGAGATATTGGGGTCACTTTAGCCCATTATTAAAGAGGACCAATCTGAAATTGGGCTCTATGTATTATTTGCCACGAATGTTACTTCCTCACCGAGACCATACATAATTCCAAGAACTTCATCATTCTCACAAAATTACCAATGTTCTATCAGTTCATTGCATCATCAATATCTCTCTCTCTCACGCACATCATTGTAAGAAATAAGAATGAAGACAGATGTTGCACCTGTGGTTTTGGAACTTGGAAGGGTTATTAATATGCTTAAAATTAATTAATTGCTTGTATCAATGTATCCATTTAAATTTAGGTCTCTTGGAGCGGTTATTATAGATTTTATCATTCTAACATTTTCCCCCAAGAAATTTATCACATAATGGCGTTATATATAAATCAGTCCCATTTTTAATTGAAATAATTTCGCTAAAGTAAATCTAGATTCTACATCTAGCTAGCTTCATTTTTTTCAATGCATCTAATAACTCCAACTATGTGTTTGGCCAAAAAAACTACAACAGTGTGGGGAATATACATGGGTGCACGATAACAAACAAAACTTCTTCTCCTTTCTTCTTAATTAGTCTCTCCATTTCTATTTGTAGGAGAAAAAAGCCATCAGAGTTCTATAAAATCAGTTAAAACTACAATACCTTTTTTTAATTGTATTAATCAAACTTTCATTAATTGTTTCTTATGAGTATGAATGATAAAATTACGAGAGATAATTTAAGAAGTTTACAATAAATACTTATTGAAAAATGTTATTTTGCTTCTATAAAAAAACAAGCTAAAAGTGATGGTTTTTCCTATAAATAAAAATAGAGGGAGTACCTTATTATTATTATTATTATTATTATTATTATTATTATTATTATTATTTATAACGTTGCTTGTTCTAGATGATAAGCCTTGCCATCAACCGTAAAAACAATAGCAAGAATTAGCTTTCATGTCCAACCAAACTAAAAACCATTTTCGATACATATAAATATATGTGCAACGAGAAGCCAAGACTATTACTTATATCACTTTGCATATCAAAATAAATACTTAATTTTCATTATAAGATATCAGTTTTGAAATTATGAGAAGAGGAAGTGTAAATAGCTTCGAGCAAAAGGTGGAATAAACTCCATTGAAGGCATACAAAATCTTTCCATAAGACCAATGTAGCGCCTATAAAAAAATGCATTTAAATAAACTCCATAGAATTGATTGAGTTGGATAAAAAAATTATGGATTTTTTTTATTTGGGATTACGTCAAATTTATTGTTGGGAAAAAAGCATGCCAAGCAAATTCAATTTTTTTTTAACATTTTGAGGATTAATTACGTCAAGTTTGATTATGCATATTGAAAAACGAGTATTTTGTGATGTACCTACCGAATTGGATTGAACATCACAGAAGTTTCACCAATCATATTCGGCAGGTTCATCGCATAGTAAAACTCGTCCTGCTGATCGCTTTCTATATAAAGGCATAATGGTTGTTTGAGCTCCTCACCCTCATCAGTAGCATATCACGAACAAAACTAATGGCTCTCAGAGTTGCATTGCCTTCTCTTATTTTTCTGCCCTCCCTCATCAGCTTCGTTGCAGTCGCCATATCTGTTACTGTAAGTTGTTGTCTTCTCTTGATGCAGCATCAGTTTGGTTTCACCCATGGCACGCAAGCTTTTCTTCTACTTAGTATTGTGTCGTGTAAGTGTGTTTACATGTTTGATTCTCAACATTAATTGATCAAAATGGGACTGCATGCATGCATGCAGGAACAATGCCAATACGTGGTCAGAGTTAAGACAGGAGATCGCAATGATGCAGGAACGGACTCTGCCATCAGCCTCAAGCTAATGGACTCTTCCAGCAATGGCTTTATCGTCAACAACGTCGAAGATTGGGGCATCATGGAAGCCCGTCACGACTACTTCGAGCGGGGCAACCTCGACGTCTTCAGCGGCACTGGCCCTTGCATCAGCATTTGCGCCGTCGCCGTCACCTCGAACGGCGAAGGGAACAAGCCAGGGTGGTACTTGGACTATGTGGAAGTCACCTCCAATGGGCACAAGGTATTGTTCCCGGTGAACCAGTGGCTAGCTCTTGATGAATGGCCACATCATCTGTATGCCAACATCAACTCATGCTTCGGCAAGCTAATCCAGATGGCATCAGATCATTAGGATTCTTGAGTTTGAGGCCCCGTCCCTCTATCGTGTCACCATGCTTAATTAGCACAACAATCTTTATATGTATCTGCTTTTTGTTATCATGTGTTCATGTATCTCTTCATTTCAATAACTGGATTTAACTCCGTGCGATGCATGGGAGCTTTATTTTCAATATATATGAGATTAGACACATGTTTCCTAATTAAGCTTTCTCTTTTCTCCTCCAATGATGCCCCATTTACGAGTAAAGATCCATCGTCATTGCTTGTGGGACCAACCGTAATCTCTCCTATAATATTAGATGTGAAGGTTTTTCATAATTAATGAAAAAAATGTTTGCACGCTTTATGAACATATTTATTAGAAAATGGATCATCTAATTATCCGTTAATTTATTTTTTAAAATAGAGAAGGTTTGATGTTTTATAAAAATAATAAAATGAGAAAATTATAAAAAAAAAACTTCACAGGAATTTATGGGCATCAATTTTAGAGAACTTGCTCTTGATTTATTTTAGTTTGGGCAAACAGTTAAAGTAGCTTTTCATCATCTTTGAATTTGTCAGAAAGCAAGTGCTTCTATTGTATTTCTCTGCTACGAATGAAACTTGTTAAAAGAATAATAAATGTTGAAATTTGAATTCAAAATGTTTTGAATTGAATATAAAGACATACAATACAGACTTTTCAACAAAAATGCCTTAGAGAAAGGGGGAAGTTCTATTTGGAGCGACAGCTTTTTTAGCTATGGACATGAAAATTCCAAAGGAAAAAATTGTTACAACAAAAAGAATATTACTAATCACTGAGACTTTACAAAGAAGCACATATAAGTAGCCTCTTACAGAAAATATCCCAGTAGCTCTATTAATTCATTACATCACCCTTTAATTAATCACTTTATACATGTTGTACATCCCACCCTATCCTTCCTTCCTTCACACTCACACAAAATTCAATGTCATAAAAATTTAAAAGCAAAAATAAAAATTTGTTTAACTCTCACATGTGTTCACTAATAAGGTTTTTTTTTTTAATGCTTTTGTCATGATAAAAATAGAACAAATGTTACGATTTCAGCCGGAGAATGAATATGAATACGTTTGGGTAATCGCAAAATATTTACTTCAAATACAAATGTGAGTTTGGGGTGTCACTTTAGGACATCCAAACATGCTAAAGTTGGTAACTCGACACATTGGGCTCAATTTGAACTGGCCCAAATAAGTCCAAGCATAAAGAAAAGTCCATCTATATAGTCCAATTCAAATCCAAATCTTCACAATTCGGGAAACAAACTTCACTGTGTTAAGGGAAACCCCTGAAGTCATAGAATTTTGTGTGAGAAGACTATTACTGAACGGCCCTTATAATTACAACAATATTGCGTCCACTTATGGTCCATGCACCCTCTTTGTTCTAGTTTGTAGCCTCATCACAACCTTTCGTTCTCTTGGGTACCATATGTGAGATAAATGATAACTCAAAACTAATTAATACTTTAAAGTTGGGTTTAAAGTAGTTATTAATATTATTTTCCATTCGTTAAGTGGTAAACTCTGACAATAGTAACAAACTAGCCAATAGGTATAAAACTATAAGGATATACTTTGGAAATGTTTAAAGTACTGTCAAGGACCTATTCTTGAACGAGAATTGTCAGACTTAAAAGTGAAATAATGGGAGTATCGATGATATATATTTTATATTTTAAAAAGAAATTAAATGACCAAACTGTTTGAACTACGAGTAAATTCATTGATGCATACATTTATTATGCATATTAAAAAAGGAGCATCATGTGATCTACCCACCGAATTGGATTGAACGTACATCACATAAGCTTCACAATGGTAGGTTCATCACAACGTAATAGTGTTTCAGCAGGACACGTGTCGTTCTATATAAAGGCATATAGATTGTTTCAGCTCCTTATCACTCTCGTCAGTAGCATCACAAACTAAACAAATGGCTCCAAAAGTTGCTTTGCTTTCTCTTGTTTTTCTGCTCTCACTCATGAGCTTTGCTGCAATCGCCATATCTGTAAGTTGCTCTCTTCTCTTGATCCAATATTGCTTTGGTTCCACACATCACCCATGGTACGCAAGCTTTTCTTCTACTAATTAGTATTCTAATTCTGAATATTGATTGAAATGGGACCGCATGCATGCAGGAGCAGTGCCAATACGTGGTGAGAGTTTAGACAGGAGATCGCAATGATGCAGGAACGGACTCTACCATCAGCCTCAAACTAATGGACTCTTCCGGCAATGGCTTTATCATCAACAACGTCGAAGATTGGGGCCTAATGGAAGCCCGTCACGACTACTTCGAGCGGGGCAACCTTGACGTCTTCAGCGGCACTGGCCCTTGCATCGGCGTATGCACCATTGCCGTGACCTCCAACGGAGAAGGGAACAAGCCAGGGTGGTACTTGGATTACGTGGAAGTCACCTCCAATGGGCACAAGGTATCGTTCCCGGTGAACCAGTGGCTAGCTCTTGATGAATGGCCACATCATCTGTATGCCAACATCAACTCATGCTTCGGCAAGCTAATCCAGGTGGCATCAGATCATCATCAGGATTCTTGAGTTTGAGGCCCAGTCCCTCTACTGTGTGATCATGCCTAATTAGAATGTGTTGCGTGCCACGTATCTCTTCATTTCAATAACTAGATTTAACTCGATCCGGGTGATGTACGGACCGGACCCTGATTCTCATATATATATATATATATATATATGATATTATGCACATGTTCTCTAATTAAGATTGAACTTATCTCCTCTAATGACCATGTGTGATGCATTATCGTTTGCTTGTTGTGCCAACCAATACCATAGTCTCTCCTAAAATATTAATTATTTGGAAAATTAATTTCATAATTAATGAAAACAAATGTTTGCTTTATTGACAAATTTATTTTATCTTGGACCAACGGTCAAAGTAGCCAAAAAATAAGAGGTACTTCTATTATTGTATTCCCTCTATTTCTTAATGTAAGAGAAATATTAACCTCTAGAATTTAATGCCATTTGAGCACATTCTCTTTAGATTTTTTATTTTTGGTAAAAACATTCTCTTAGATTTTAATATATTTTGGCATAATTGTATATATTTTTGAATACTTAAGTTAGAAAATTTTGTATATTTTTTTGAAAATTAAAACTACGACTCGATTTTGGTATTTTCAAGCTAATTCATTGGTATTTTGGTTTAAAGTTCAGTTGCATTTTCCGGACCCTTGATGACCCTTTTGAAAGTCGTATAGATGAATAAATTAAGTGAAAAGATGATTAGTCACATTAATTGGTAGAATACAAAACATAGCAAAGTCATGACCAAAGTTGTGACATTGTGCATGACTTTTGACATTGAGAGCAAAAGGTTGAGTTTTATTTAGCTAGAAATGTTAGGTCTTAATGCATATATGTTGTTGGCTCAACTTAGAAAGTTTTCTTCACACTTTGAAACACATTTGGAACTTGGTTGTGTTAGGGTTTGGACATTGAAAGAATTGGAATTAAGAGATAGATTGAAGCATTGAAAACATTTGAAGCTTATTTTCTTTTTTTTTATTCCTTTTCCCTTTTATCTCTTATAATCTAAGATCAGTCCAAATATTTTGTGTACTTTTATTTTGTGGATTCTTATAAGAAGCTAAACTCCTTGCTCTAGGATTATTTTGAATTCTCGTATGGATTAATACTAATTTCCTCCTCTCTCTTTTTGTGTTTGATAATATATAAGTGTTTATTTTACTCTTCTCTTAGTGCTTCTAAGTATTTGGCTACCATTTAAATATTGTGTTCACTTAGGTGATGTTTGAGAGGGCTAACATGAGTATAGAACTTGGGGTGAAATAGTGCAAAAACTTGAAATTTGCATAATCAATGGATGATTTTGTTAACAAGATAGAAATATATTTGCCAACCTTGTAAAGCCACATTAGGATTGGTATTTAAAGTTGGGTTTTATTAGTGATTGTAACAAGTGAATGAGTACTTAATTTAATTAAATACTTGTTTATGATCACTTATTTTCATTAAAAACATCTATGAAAGGATAATTTTAGTGTTATAATATGCAAGGGAAAAAATAATCTTAGGTTCCAATTTGTGCTTGAAATTTGAGAATCAATTGTTTTTTTGTCTTCTAATTTTACTATAAGTTTCAAAATGAACTTTATGTAATTATGTTTTGCTCAACTTAATTGAATTTACTTAATCTTTTGCTCAATCATCTTTTTTAAATAAATCTCTGACGAAACGAAACTTTACTCATTTTATATTACTTGTCACAGCTTATGCACTTACGATACAAAACAAGAAAATAAAACTCATATAGTTTAAGAAAGTTGATTAAATGTAATAATATATCTAAAAAACCAACTAAAATACCCTAGTACTTAACCAAATAAGTCTGTATTAGTGTTCTATCTTATGAATGAAAACTATGACTTTATCAGTAGCAATTTAGAACAATTGTGATAGATGCTTATTCAGAAACCAGTGGAGTATTCCCAAGCTATGAATGAAGGGGAAAAGTTCTATTTAATTTAGAGAAGCAGATTTTAATTTATAGACAAGAAAATTCCAAAGGAAAAAAATGTTAAAAAAAGTGAATATTATTAGGAAAGATGATATTTAAGGCCCTCGTAAGAGAATTTATTATAATAAGAACCAATTAATTTTGTATTGAATATTATCATGTGAAAATGTGTATATGTTGTTGTTAAAACCTTAATTTGTTGTTAAGATTCAATTTTTAACAACAACATATTCATATTTTCATAAAAAAATATTGATAAATTATAATTTTATATATTTTTATCCTTTTAATTTAGGCTTTTCAATATTTATTTGAGACTAGTTAAGTTTAATTAGATATTATTTGATTTTATTAGCCAATCTTCAACTTTTGAATTTTAATCACCTAAATCTTGAATTTTAAAATGTAAATGATTTCTTTAATATTTTTACACACTTACTATTTAATTTTATTTTATTTGTGATGACTTTCAGGATTTAATTTAAAAGATATTGATGAAGATTATTTTGGATTAAAGAATGTGGGTATACTTGAAGATTAAGTTAAGAATCAAATTTTATAAACTTTAGTTATGTTTATTTTGGTTTCTTAATATATTTTTCGATTAGGGTTATTAAGGATAGTTTTATCATTTTACTAAATTATAGGTTTTATTTTTATGAAGAAAGGAGCACATAGCCGGGGAAAAAATCACTGGGAATTGAATTGAAAAGGGACGCACAACTTTTAAATTAAGAAGAAGGAACGGAGGTAGGGGATGTGTGCGACGCTTGTTTCGTTTTTCCTTTTTGTGATTTACAAGTTTCAAGCCATAGAGAATTAATTTTTCTGATGTGATCAGTCATAAATTAAACCATAACCCTAAATTGTAATTAGATTGATAATCAAGAAAGATTTTATTTAGCTTTATTTCAATTTTTTCTTCTTCTCTCTACTTTTGAATTTTATATTTTAATTATTATATTAATTACAATAGTTTTACTGCATAATTTTTGGGTTATATATTTTATCTGAGGTTTTTCTTACTATAATCAATTAATATAATAACATAAGAGTAATTTGGCCTAGCTTAAGTGATTATTTATGTTTTGTTTCTAGTGTGATTAATATAGAAGCATTTGTTAAGTTGTGGTTTAAAAAAATTTTTAATTAATCTATAATTTAATTTCTTGTTTGATCCTTGAATAATAATTTAACAAAAATATATATTAAACCAAATTAATAAAGTTAAATAATTTTAATTTATTTTGTGGATAATAAAAATTAACTTTAGGTAATTGAGTTGTGATTGATTATGCTGCCTGTATTTGATAATTTTCTCAGTTAAACTTTAATTATTTAATTTTAATTTAGCTTTTCAATTGATTTCGTCATTAAAAAAAATCCCCACACAATTTCACTTTTCAAAATCCTAATTCAAGTAGTTAATCCTTTGATTTTTAGAGAAATAACCTATTTTGCGTTTTAGTATAAAATTTAATTTTTATTAATTTTGGTGCTATTCGATATTAGTGTCAAATATTCAATGCAAAACTAATTAGCCTTTATTAGGATAAATTTCCTTGAGAGGGCCTAAATGTCATTCATCCATATTTTTACTCACCTGTCACTGAAACCTTAACAGACGCACATGTTAATAGCTTCTCACAAAATCCCAGCAGCTGCATTAACTCGTTTCGTCACCAAATTAATCACTTTATATTGCCATGCAATTCCATTTGTTAAATTTTTAGCTATAGAAATTTTTTGATGATGAAATAACAAACCCTTTTTTTAGTAGCTTATTAAAATTCGTAAAGTCTAAATCATATATTCCCTGCAGTCTTGATTATAGGGCAAGATTTTAAACTTATACTTGGTCAGATCAAATGTAACATAAAATTGTGGTAGTTAAATTATTTTTTTTTAATCTTGCACCTCCTTAACTGTAAGAAGTTGTTGGTATAAGTTTTTGATTTCTATATAACGCTTTATTATGATTTTGGATTTTAATGAAAGACAAAACTGAAAAGTAACACATTTTTCTATAAGTTTAAAGTATTAATTACCACTTTTTAATTAAGAACCCGTAAAATTAATTAACTTTATTCTGTAACCAAGACCGAACGAAGTATATAACAAGGAGGGTAACATCTAATGGTGAATTCTGATGCATTATCTACATAAAATTAGGAGGCCAAGGGATTCCAATGTACCTTTCTCTAATGTCTTTTGCAATATCATGCCTTCCCAACTTTATTTTTCTTTTTTCTTTTGATTATTGATTTCTATATAAAATAAGATAATTTTTGACATTTTGAAGTCCTGAAACAATATTTTTTTGTATTTTTTTATGATTTTTCAAAGAAAAAAGTGTGTAATTTTAATATTTTTCTTTTTTAAAAACCATTAAAAAATTTAAAAGTCCACCATTTCATAACTTTAAAAAAAATTAAAATGTCTTTTATTTTATATTAAAATTAATAATAAAAAAAGAAAATGAAGTTGGAAAAGTGAGACATTACAAAAGACATTATAGAAAGACACGACAGAATTGCCCATAGTTTTAAAAATCAGGAGAGGTTGCTACATGTATGCAAATAAAGTCTTTAGTTTTTTTTTATTCAATTGAAAAAAAAAACAGAAAATTCATATATTTATCATATATCCCATGTACATAGCTTTATTATTGAAATGATGAGATACACGTACGACACAGAACACACAGGAACAAAAGACAGATACATATTAATAAGCTTTTGCTAATTAAGCATGGTCACACGGCAGATCAGAGAGAGAGAGAGAGAGAGAGAGAGAGAGAGCGGGCCTGAAACTCAAGAACCCTAATCTAATTATGACGACGAGCAGGGAGGCACAAGTTGACGGTGAAGGGGTAACCAAGCCCCAGCCAATAGGACACCGGGAAGCCAACCTGGGTAGCTATGCCAGGCCCTTTGGTGGTGATTTCCACGTATTCCAAGTTCCAGTCTGGCCTGTTCCCCCACCCGTTTGTTTCCAAATATATTTTGCAAGGATTCAGACAAACGTTTGAGAAACTGAACAAGTCCAGGTTGCTGCGTTCAAAGTACAGGTGGCCTGGTTCCATTATGCCAAAATTTTCGAGGCTGTCGATTACAAAGTTCTTGCCGCTGTGATCAAATACTTGGAGTTTCACTTTCGCATCAGTTCCTGAACCATCGCCAAATCCTGTCTGAACTCTAACCAGGTACAAGCAACTTTCCTGCATCCATGCATGCACACTCCCATTTAGATCAGTGTTCCAAATCAGACATATATAGATCACACACACACACAACTAAGTAGAACAAGAAGAGAACATGGAAACTTACAGATGTAGCGATTGCAGCGAAGCTGATGACAAGAAGAGTAGACAATACAATTCTGAGGGTGAGAGCCATTTGTTTAGTTTGTGATGGTACTGGTGATGAACGAGAGGAGTGCTGAAACATCCTATATATATGCTCCTCCGGTCCCTTGTAGTAACCTTCTAGAAAGATTTTTTCGGTCCAGAAGCAACTTAAAGGTATTAATTACGTTTTTTTCTTTTAAAATTACTCTTTTTTAAACTCGTTAATTTTGAGAAAGGAATGAAATGCAAATTTATTTATATTTCATTTAAATAGAGAAAAATTGAAAGTTTATTTTATTTTCAGATAAAATTAACAACTTAATGACGTTTCCTTGATTGCATTAAAATAGTTAAAGGTATCTTGTAAATTTATATATATCTAGTGGTGTATCTACTCACATGCACGTGACCTTCATCTCCCTTCTTTATTATTATTATTTTTAATCTTATCAGTTTCAATCTTTCATTCATTGATCGATTATGAATATCTAAAGGTTAAATATTATGAGTCATATGTGTATCTAGCTATATTAATTAGATTAATTGAATTATTTGGATTCATGAATGATGAAGATAAATCAAGACTCTTTAAGAAATATGAAATTTTATCTCCTTAGACTTTATCTCCTTAGACTTTAGACATTGTGTAAAAGAAATTACTATTTCAAAATAAATAAAAATCCAAGATAATCATGGCTTAAAATATATAAATTCTTCAATTGAAGCTCAATTTTGTTTAAGAAAGAAAAAAAATCTCACTCGGTTTAATTATCAAGGAAAAAACAATTTATAAAGAGTAGTTGGACCTCCATTGAGTCAGCCCCGTATTTTAGGATATGTTTGTGGAGACAACAAGTATATTATCCTTAATATTTTATATTTTGGATATGGTGACCTTTAATAAATATACATATTTTCGTTTTTTTTTTTTGCCGTTTTAGTTTCCCTTAATGGTCCAATTACTTTGTTATCCATTATATTTATCCGATATTTTAGAACTTCGGTTCCAAAAGTACAGCATGATATCCTGAACCTAAATGAATTAATTATGTATTTGAATTTGAATTTGTATTTGGTGAGTAACTTAAATATACTTACTTAATGAGTGTATCAATTATGGGAGGGAAACCTCTTCATTTTTTTCCCTCCATTTTTCCCATCTCAACCATTCATATTGTTTTATTAATTTTTTAAAAATTATAGAATTATTGAATGGTTGAGATGGGAGAAGTGGAGGAAAATAGAGATAAAAAAATGGAAAGACCTTCACCCATCAATTATAGCTATTGAATTTCATCATTATTTGAAAAGTATTATCAATATATAGCCCCCTCTAAAATTTGAGACTTAATACTTTTTAAATATTATATAACAAAATTCCTGACAGTCGTTCTTTAAATCAAATTGTATGTGCGACACTTATTGAGTGAGTATATTGAGACCATTCATGGAATCCAAATCCATCAAGTATATAGGAGGAAGAAAGGTATTCTCAAGAAGATAAATTAAATCACCAAAACAAATTGGTACTGCACATCACAATGCATGCATATATAGATATATATATATATATATATATATTTATATATTTATTTATTAAATTGACCATAATAATACCTAAATTCATTACAAAAGAAATGACTTTTGGTAGTAATTTTTAGCAATGACAAAAAAATCACTACCAAAGGTCCACTTTTGACGGTGACAATTAAAAGTTATTGCCAAAAGTGGACCATGTCGAACCAAAAAGTTGTAACTAAAAATAATTTTGGCCGATAACAATTACTTTTGGTAGCAACTATCAAAAGTCACTACTAAAAATGATTTTGGTGGTGACTTTTAATAGTTATCACCAAAAATAATTGTTATCAGTCACATTTTGTCACTGTCAAAAGTATTTTTATAAAAAAATAATTTAAAAATTAAAAATAATTTATATAATTATTTTTAGTGATAACATTTGTTGTCACTAAAAGTATTTTTAAAAATTTAAATATAATTTTACCATATATGAAATTATAAATTAATATTAGAAAAATTTTTAAATTATTTCAAAAATTTAAAATTACATGAAGTTATTCAAAAGATATTTATGAAAGTAAATTTCTTATTTTATATATAGAATGAGAAATAAATGATATATAGGGTCAAGAAACTAAACAAATAATGATGAAGATGTGTTAAGTTTAATTATTAAGATATTTTTTAATTTTGTATTATAAATAATCTTTTTTAGCAAGGTCTTAAAAACTGAAACAATCATTAAACTAATTGAGGTAATAGTTTACAGGTAATAGTTTAGTTCATTGATCGAACCATAATCAAACTGATAGTTAATAAAGTAATATATTTCAAATTTTATGTGTTAAATAATACCATGATAAGTGAAAATAAATTTAATAAATTTTAATTTAAAAAGGGATAAATAAATTAAAATACAAATTATTATTTATCTATATGTTAAGAAAATTTTTACTAAGATTAAAAACATAATCAAAGATCAATAAAAAAATCTACATTTCAGATAATAATTAAAATGGTTTATGTTTCCAAACTATGATTATCAACCATTTTTTAGAGGTCGATTTAAACAGAAATTTAAAATATTTTGATCAAGAAAACATATAGATTAATACTATGAAGTACAAATATGAAATGTATGCTTACATTGTTAATAAAAAAGTCATGGACATTAACAAAAAAAAAATATCACGAAACATAAAAGGAAAAAAAAAAAAAAAAACAAGTGCAAACAGTGAGCTAAGAAGAAGAAACAATGGACATCCGTGTGCAGCGGCATCACATCGCTTGGAAAGAAAGAGGGGGATGGCTCATGCTCGCTATAAATACAAACAACTGGATGTGCGAACCTGTGCGTGGGAGGTGCTCAGCGATCATGCGCGTGGGGATCGAGTAAATTATTTTTGTTGTCAGTGTCAATTTCTTTTTTTTTTTTTTGGTGCCTGGTTTAGTAAGCGGAACCAGACTCGTTTTTACCAGTTATTTTGGCTGTTGACCTATTTATCCGATCTTTGACTGGTTTATTTTTTGTCCGTTTATAAGGTTATACCGGACCGGATTCATGGCCTCCTCTCGATTCAATCGATTGAATCGGCTGGTTCAGTTCAGTTTTTAAAATATTATTTTTTAGACATATATAATTCATATTTTTCAAGAATGGTCTTATTAAGCTAGTATTTTAATATGACATAAATAAAATCTTGATGGATGATTACCTTCAATTATAATTAGGCTATGTTACACATAAATACTTACTTACATACAAATACATAAATTGTATTAGGATATTAAAGTTGTACAGATGTCACGAGATGCAAATAGTTGCAGACTACTTGACATATTACGTACTTGATGCTTAGCCCCGATATATAGATGTATTTACTCTATTTGCTGAGCTCTAATAATTTTTTGACAAGGATGTCCTGTAATTCTCCCTAGCAAGTGTTTAGATTTTCATTGTTATGAAAAAAGAAGTTACTAATAAGATTTTTTTAATAGATTATTACTAAGAAAAATATGAAAAATTATTTAAATATACCTTGTTATAAGGTAGAGAATACATAATGGTTAGCTAGAATAGATCGATCACATTTAACAAATTTATTTTGCATTGTAAAAGTTACATTATTAGTATTCATTGAAAATTCAAAATTATTTAAAATGACTATTAACAAAATTTATATGGTTAAACTTAATTTTTTTATTAAAATAATTTCTTAAGATAATTGAAAAATTGTAGATAAAATTTAGGGGGAATTACAACTAGGTCCGACATAAGAAAATTAATTATTGCTAGGTCTATTGATAACTAAACTAAACTGCATTGATAACTGATTGTGTTTTCAATACAATTTAATTCAGTTACTAATGAACCTTGCAGTAATTTATTTTCTTGTATGAAACTTCAATGTAATTATCCCTAAAATTTATTTTTAATAAAAGAAAGGGGAACATTTAACTTGAGAGAAGATAAAAGTAAAATATATTTAACATAAACTAATATAATACATATTTATAAATAAATTTAAGATTAATTATTTTCATTTAAAATATTATTTAAAATGTTTATAAGAAAAATTATTTAATATTTAAAATTTGTTTCATTTTAAGTTCATTTCTCTAACAAAAATAATATTTTCTACTAAAAGAATAATATTATATTAAAAACATAATATATATGTATAGTCATATAAATTATTTTACCATATTACTAATTAAAAATAAAATAAAATATATGTATATCTTTTAATAATATATTATTTGATATATGTGTATTTTAGTTCAACTGACAGAGAATGAGAATTTAAGACTTAAGAAGTAGAAGTCAAGAACTCAAATCTTGAATTTGGCATATTTTGAAATTTGTAATGAATAAGTGATGTGATTCTCATTGGCAATGTGACATAACGTGGCATGAGGAGGTACATACGTGATAGGGTGACGTAGAGTGACATGTCAGGTGACATGGCATGAGTTAGCTCTTATTAAAAGTATATTTTTGACAGCAATTATGTTTGCTAATATAAAAAAACTATTAGTGACGGGATCTTTTGTGACAATTTTTTAACAATGAAAAGTTGCTACTAAAAACTTTTAACTGTGACTTTCTTTTTGGAGTGGTTGCTCTTGCCACTTCAAATGAACCAATAAAATTAGGTTTCTAGCACTTGAAAAATGCACGGGGAACAACAAGATGTGCAATTTGATTTATATTTTGTATTGATGATAAGAAAGAAGACTAGTCAAAATTGTCATTGCTTTTGCGAATTCTTGGGGTACTCTTTGTGCCTTCAATTTGTGTAGCTCAAAAGTCCCCTCTTTAGTTTCCAGATTCATGCTTCATGGATGAATAGCTAGGCCTTCTTGAGTAGAAAAAGTTTTAAGCATTTTACAATAAAATTATTTAAATGCCACTGTTGCAAAAAAAAAAAGTTTACAGAAGGTCTAAAACACTTTTTATTGAAAAAGCACCCCAGAAGGTCTTGCCTACCAGAGCAGTTCTTATGAAAAAAAAAAAAAATTGGTACA